AGTATCCATCCTCACTCCAATTGAAAACCAGACGACAAGCAAAACCAGAATCGCGACCCATCATTGTTAATAAATACTGACATTATTTACCTTTAAAGAATATCTACACGGCCGGGCCGAAGCATCAAAGAATAATTATGGCATCGATTTCGCTCCAAAACAAAATTCCTAGCCGGGATATCAGATCAAATAATCACAAGAAGTCAAATAATAAGTACGGAATTAAAGTAGAAGAGGAATCAAGGGCGGAGAAGGCTCTCAAAATTAACCAAACACAACACCCATGGGAAGCGAGCAACACGGCCGCCTTTGTCTTTCCGAGAGGATCACGACACACAGGCACCAAGCCAGGAAATGACACCCATAAAAGTTGGGGCAAGGGCTCAAAGGGAATTAACACACGCCTTCGAATAAATAAACACGCCGGGTGCTCCCACCGTGGAAACAACCGCCTTTGTCTTCCCACAACACGGACAGCAAAAATTGCACAAACCAGGAAATGACATTTCCATGGGAGATCGGGTCACGATGAAACATCGTGAACACTGTTTCGGCATAACCAAGCAGCAAATAAGTCGCATTTCAACTTCCAAACCAAACCAACTTAAGCTGTGTGAGACAAAGGATGTGATCCCAGAGCAAGGGAGTGAATAGTTAAGCTCGCTTAACGCGTAGGTTTTCGCGACAAATGTTATTCAGTAACAAAACATGGATTCGAATGTTTTTTTTTTAACTCAACGCGAATCATCGGTCTGGCTAATGGATAACTTCTGAAGCAGCCGACACGAGGCCCCCACCCCCTTTCTTCCAGAACGACACACACAGCTGTGTCTTCAAAGCTAATAAACACACGGACAAACACGCACGCGAAACACACGAACGGACACACACACGGACGCAGATGGTCCACCCCCACAGGAAGGTTTTATGACACAGCTTTTGAACAACTCGGGGAGCCGAGTGGAATTTTCCGATATAAACCGAAGGAAAATCCATACAACTCAGATCGACAGGGGCTTTGGCCTCCATCACAGTTCGTCAGGGGCTCTGGCCCCCATCACATATCGTCCGGGCTTCGGCTCCAACACACATATCATCCGGGCTACGAGCCCATCTTCGGCTCCACCACAGATCTTCACGAGCTCCGGCCTACATCTCATCTCGTCTCCGGGCTAAGGCCCCACCAGAGTTCTCCAGGGCGACAACCATCTCTCCTCGTCGCCGCCAACGAAGAAGCTTTTCGTCATCCAGAAGGACGAGGATCGCGCGGTGCCGAGGCATCGCCTGCCGCGCACGAGTGTACGAGCCAGGCGCCCTTGCCGTGTCACCACGCCGAGGTGCATCGCCTGCCGCACACGAGTGTACGAGTCCAGCTCCCCTGCCGTGTCGCCACGCCGAGGTGCATCGCCTGACCACGCAAACGAGCGTGGCCGCGCGTCAGTCATCGTACGGGGTCAGCCAAGAAAGGAGTCGGAAAGCGAGCCGCTCACCCTCTCACCGCAGCTGCGCAAGCCAGAGGGTCCTTCTCCGAAAGTCGTTCGTACCCACAACTTCCCCCACCAATAGACCCACACACGCACGCATTGACGCCCCACTCACCTGTGAGACTATCCCATCTAGTTCACCCTTACCATCGTATCAACCCTAGTCAATTATCAGAAGACTGATTATCAACTACATGAACCATCAGCTGGCCATGCGGAATCGCGGCCCATCGAGTGATTAAGAGTCCGTCGGTTATAAGAGTAAAGTTGTTACCGTGTCTTTCCCTTGTTCCGCTCATCACATAGGCGATCAATAGACTCGTCAAGGCAAACTCAAACTCTCGGAATCCTCATTACGAATCGACCGAACACAGAGAGAGAATATCTTGTCAAACCAGTTTCCTTTGTCCCAGAGTCTCGCCGAAGAATTAATTACAACAGAGCCAGATTCGCTCTCGCGCCCACACGCCCTCACCCACCATTGTATCAAACATTCCGTTAAAAAGGATTTTAGACTTGCCGATGAATCTATTGACATATACTTTCGCCTCTGGGATACAATAAGTGCTTTTTATTACCGCCATATGAAGTGTGTCATGCTTGTTTTCAAACTCGACCAGTCGCCGATTGTGATCAATACATGGGCGAACTAATGATGCCTGGTAGAAAAGTAGAGGTTACAATTGATAGAAGTGTTTTTAGTCATTCAGTTCGTTAAATGCATAAGTGTTTATTCATTCATTTTAGTCAAATGCATAATCTCGTAATTGCATAAGAGTTTGGTTATTCATATTAGTTAATGCATAATATCGCAAATGCATAAGAATTTTTAGTCATTCAGTTCGTTAAAAGCATAAGTGTTTATTCATTCATTTTAGTCAAATGCATAATCTCGTAATTGCATAAGAGTTTGGTTATTCATATTAGTTAATGCATAATATCGCAAATGCATAAGAATTTTTAGTCATTCAGTTCGTTAAATGCATAAGTGTTTATTCATTCATTTTAGTCAAATGCATAATCTCGTAATTGCATAAGAGTTTTGGTTATTCATATTAGTTAATGCATAATATCGCAAATGCATAAGAATTTTTAGTTATTCAATTTAGCTAAATGCATAAGTGTTTATTCATTCATTTTAGTCAAATGCATAAGAGTTTTCGTTATTCATATTGCATAATTGCATAATGTCACAACTGCATAAGTTTTTGTCGTTCATATTAGTTAATTGCATAATCTTGCCCATGAATTATTGACGCATGTTTGACCTGCATGATAGAATGTCACGTGCTTGTTAGAATAAAATTGTAATCCAGAAGCATATCGAGTGTTCCTTCCAAGTCCATGCAAAACTGTCTTATTCTTGACAACTGTATCCTGTGATGAGATATGAAAATGGAGACCTAAAATATTATAACACACACTAGGATAATCGGTAAATGAATCTATGATAATCGTGTTATCCTGATTGATAACCCTGGATAAACGAAACTAAGCAAATTATCGTAACTGCACACATTAACATAATCGCAAGCCTCCGCATAAATTACTACGATTATCATAATTTATGCATATAATCACACGCATTATCATAATTTATGCGTATTAATACACACACTATCATAATTAATGCGATTTGCGCATTTTTCGGAAAATTATTAATTTTTATTATTTTCATCAAATTTCATAATCACAACACATACAACACCTCAGAGTGCACCTGGCCTGGCACAGGCACCGTGGTGATGTCACCATCACTTAGTGGCGAATGGCGGGTATTGGTGTGTGTGTAGGGCCACTAGGTTGACTCGGCCTCAAATTGAGTACCTGGTGCGGTGTAGTAAACATCGCCATTGGGGAGACAAAGGCGGCTGGGCGTGGTGCTTGCCACCCACACCCTCATGCCGGCCTTAGATGCGACTCGCGAACAGCACTTGCCCCAAGTCTCTTACGAGCTACACACGGGGGGGGGGATCTTTGTCTCTGTTGACGGTACGTACTCAGCAGCACGCCCTGGTCATCACTGCAAGGTGTATTCACCAGAACATACCACGCGCCGTCGACTGCGCAGTGGACGTTGTGTACGAGGGAAGGCCAAATTCTGCTCGTTCAATGACCCCGGTCGGGATGGCGCGCAAAGCCATCACACGAGCGGGCCGCTCGCAGGCTGCGTGCCAAGCCGCGTGTGCCTCACGGGAACAGCTGCCGTCTCTGGATGCTCTTTATACTGTTCGACACATTGGAGGCTTTAGTGAACAATATTAGCCATAACAGAGGCTTTTTTGGGGGGTTAGAGCGCATAAATATAAATGTGTCGTTAAACCCGCCACCACCAATTAGCAAGAAGGTTTGTCACGTCAGAGTAAACGTTTACAACTCTCCAACACCGGTGTGCTCAACTCGTGTAACTAATTGGCATGTTTGTTTACGTGACAACCCTTGCTAATTGGCTGTTTTGTCGGGTGGTGACGGGTTTAACACATTTAGATTTACGCGATCTCACCAAAAACGATTATGGCCCTTAAACTATCGTCAAGGATTGAGGTTATACCGTCGCTGGGTTGGGTCACCAAGTCGGCTTGTGTGTCTCAAGCACTGCGAACTACACAAGGCACAGTCCGTCTCGAATGTCAATACCACCGCATTCTCAAAAGCCTCGCGTTTAAATGAACATACCTGTCAACCCTTAGTCAGTGCCTACCTTATTACAGACCAACTCAGACCGTATTGGTCACCCCGTTCCATCTCAACGATCAACTAACAAAGTTCCATCACAAATAGACACGAAACATTGTGCCCGCCGCATGGACCCGACTACGGGATGGTGTGACAGGCTTGCACGAGGCACCAGAGAGAGGCCTTTGCACACACTGACTGGAGGACGGAGCAGCAGGAGAGAGCCGTAATCACCATGGCGGCGTCTTGCTGCTGCTGCTGCCCCCTTCGCTGGCGGACGGAGGCGGCCGCGTCAGCGTCTCGGTGTCTCTCGCGGGGTGAGGAAGGATTCGATTCGCCACCACCGCAAGTCGCCCTCACAGTCGCACGGAGCTTCTCTCGCTCGTCAGCGACGATTCGCTACATCACCGAGATTATTAAAAATCGATTCAATTGATGGACTGAGAGCTGCAGCCACACTCGGGTCGCGTGTTTTTAATCGATAGTCGCCACCGTGGATCGCTGTGCATAGAGACGTCATCGCGTATCGCTACGTGATTACGTCACCGCAAATTCGCTGTGCGTGATGACATCACCACGTATCGCCCTCCCGTCATCGCGTATCGCTACGTGATTACGTCACCGCAAATTCGCTGTGCGTGATGACATCACCACGCATCGCCCTCCCGTCATCGCGTATCGCTACGTGATTACGTCACCGCAAATTCGCTGTGCGTGATGACATCACCACGCATCGCCCTCCCGTCATCGCGTATCGCTACGTGATTACGTCACCGCAAATTCGCTGTGCGTGATGACATCACCACGTATCGCCCTCCCGTCATCGCGTATCGCTACGTGATTACGTCACCGTGGGTTCGACGTCACGGCTCGGGGCCTGGATCCGCGTGAGGGAGCAGAGTCGAGCTCCGTGGGAACTGAGGTCGAGGTTGCGGAGCGAGCGGCTACAGCAACAGCAGCGGCAGCAGCAGCAGCAGCGCGCGATGGCGGCGTCATTGGCAGCCGCTCTGCTCGTGCGCGGGACGAGCGCCGCCGCGAGGCCGCTTCTGGGCCCCGTGCTGGAGGGGAGAGCCGCGTTCAAGGTGACGGGGACAAGGCCCCGGGCCTGTGTCTCTCCTGACCTCCCCATACTCCTGACTCGCTACTGACTCTCATGTGACTCTCTACTGACTCTCATGTGACTCTCTACTGACTCTTCTGTGACTCTCTACTGACTCTCATGTGACTCTCTACTGACTCTCTACTGACTCTCCTGTGACTCTCTACTGACTCTCTACTGACCTGTGACTCTCTACTGACTCTCTACTGACTCTCCTGTGACTCTCTACTGACCAGTGACTCTCTACTGACTCTCTACTGACCTATGACTCTCTACTGACTCTCCTGACCTGTGACTCTCTACTGACTCTACTGACCAGTGACTCTCTACTGACTCTCCTGACCTGTGACTCTCTACTGACTCTCTACTGACCTGTGACTTTCTACTGACTCTCTACTGACTCTCTACTGATCTGTGACTTTCTACTGACTCTCTACTGACTCTCTCCTGACCAGTGACTCTCTACTGACTCTCCTGACCTGTGACTCTCTACTGACTCTCTACTGACCAGTGACTCTCTACTGACTCTCTACTGACCAGTGACTCTCTACTGACTCTCTACTGACCTGTGACTCTCTACTGACCTGTGACTCTCTACTGACTCTCTACTGACCAGTGCCTCTCTACTGACTCTACTGACCTGTGACTCTCTACTGACTCTCTACTGACCTGTGACTCTCTACTGACCTGTGACTCTCTACTGACCTGTGACTCTCTACTGACTCTCCTGACCTGTGACTCTCTACTGACTCTCTACTGACCTGTGACTCTCTACTGACTCTCTACTGACCTGTGACTCTCTACTGACCTGTGACTCTCTACTGACTCTCTACTGACCAGTGACTCTCTACTGACTCTCTACTGACCAGTGACTCTCTACTGACTCTCCTGACCTGTGACTCTCTACTGACCTGTGACTCTCTACTGACTCTCTACTGACCTGTGACTCTCTACTGACTCTCTACTGACCTGTGACTTTCTACTGACCTGTGACTCTCTACTGACCTGTGACTTTCTACTGACCTGTGACTCTCTACTGACTTGTGACTCTCTACTAACCTGTGACTCTCTACTGACTCTCCTGACCTGTCACTCTCTACTGACTCTGTACTGACCTGTGACTCTACTGACTCTCCTGACCTGTGACTCTCTACTGACTCTCTACTGACCAGTGACTCTCTACTGACTCTCTACTGACCTGTGACTCTCTACTGACCTGTGACTCTCTACTAACCTGTGACTCTCTACTGACGTTCCTGACCAGTGACTCTCTACTGACTCTCTACTAACCTGTGCCTCTCTCCTGACTCTCTACTAACCTGTGACTCTCTACTGACTCTGTACTGACCTGTGACTCTCTACTGACTCTCTACTGACCTCTGATTCTCTTGACTCTCTATTGACCTGTGACTCTCTACTGACCTGTGACTCTCTACTGACCTTTGACTCTCTACGGACTCTCTACTGACCTATGACTCTCTACTGACTCTCCTGACCTGTGACTCTCTACTGACTCTCTACTGACCTGTGACTGCTGACTCTCCTGACCTGTGACTGCTGACTCTCCTGACCTGTGACTCTCTACTGACTCTCTACTGACCTGTGACTCTCTATTGACCTGTGACTCTCTACTGACTCTCCTGACCAGTGACTCTCTACTGACTCTCTCCTGACATGTGACTCTCTACTGACTCTCCTGACCAGTGACTCTCTACTGACTCTCTAATGACCTGTGACTCTCTACTGACTCTCCTGACCTGTGACTCTCTACTGACCTGTGACTCTCTACTGACTCTCCTGACCTGTGACTCTCTACTGACTCTCTAATTGCTCTCCGTTCAGTGACTCACTTCTGACTACGAGCCCCTCTACACTCTACAGGCTCTCCAACAAATCCTCAATAAACGACTCCAATTGCTACCAACGATCCACAAACTATCACCAATTATCCAATTTACGTGCATTCGAAGTTTGGTTCTTCCTGAAAATTTTCAGGCGTTCTCACGAGTGTGTTTTTTTCGTTTATGATTCAAAGTGTAATCTTTATTACCATTCAAGCGAACGCCTGAGCACTTGCCCCGCTCACTGCGAATGACTTGTTTGATAAGCAGGCATCCGTGCATTCAAGCGCACGATGCGGCAGACGCGGCTGGTTGGCGTACCTCATGGGCGAGAGGATCCAGGACAACTTCAAGCCAAATAGCAAGCTGGTTGTGGTGGAGGGGAACGTGGCCACTGGCAAGAGAACGCTGGCCAAAGAGCTCGCCAAAAAACTGGGTAAGATACTGCTTACCCATGCCCTGTGATTAGTTAATTGAGTCGTGATAGCGCTTCATATTGAATGTAAGTGTTAAAAGTGTCACGTAGATATAAAATAAAACAAATCACGACGTTTCGGGCGCAACACAAGCGTCCGTCATCAGGTGGGAAAGCGTGGTCTGCTGCTGAAGCAGACTGTTTTAAAATGTTTGAAATGGGTGTAGCCCACGGGTCATCAAAAAGTGGCCGGGGCTAGTGATGTTTATGTGAGAAATTAGCATGTAACTGTAAGATAGGAGATCGGTCTCCTAGATGAGGGCATGGAAGTGGCTATGTCAATGTGAGGGATTAGCATGATGCTAATGTGAGAAATTAGCATGTAAATGTAAGCTAGGAGAGCAGCCTCCTCGACGAGGGCACGGAAGTGGCTATGTTGGTGAGGGATTAGCTTCATGTTAACGTGAGAAATTAGAGGGCACGCAAGTGGCTATGTTAATGTGAGAGATTAGCATACTCTCAGGTTTTTTCAGTAATTCACATAAGTAAAAATAAATAATAAAATACTAGAAATAATAATAGAAATAAAATAATAGATCACGACGTTTCGGAGGCAACACAAGTCTCTGTCATCAGGTGGGACCGTCGCAGCTAAATTTACTGTATCAAGTGAGGCAAAATTCCAAGAGACTTATCTGAATGTGGTAGCCAGGGAATAGAATGTGTTGGGGGGGGGTGGGCGGGGCTACAAGAGAACAATCGGTGCACTTCGACTTAACCAGTGTTGGCTGACAATCCAAATACAAAAAGCAGTACTGTTAAACGCTGGGGATGTCAACACTCGGTAAAGTAGAATAGTACCTGTCAAATAAGATGGTACAAATATGTGTAGTTAAATCTTGTTTACATGGTTAATAACATCTTTCCAATGATTACTCACTTTGTACCCATCATCACAGTTGAAGTTATGTCTGTTTGTATATCTGGATGGCTTCGTGTACAAACCTTTGATGGTAGCCAGAGGGTTTGCAGAGCAACTTGGTCTCGAAAAAGACAATATCATGAGAGCCCACAGCGTTGTAGCAATGATCGGCAACGGCGGAAGACTCAATTTTGCCGTGTTTCAAATCTGACTTGTGCTCGTGGACACGATCGGAGACATGACGTTTCGTTTCCCCAATGTAAGAGAGATTAGCATGTTAATGTCAGCTGTTATTTCGATTCTCTGTGTCTCTCTGCCTCTCTCTTAGATCTCTCATGCTCACATGTCCATTGCATTGCACTCTCATGCCTTTGGATTGCACTCTCATGCTCACATGTATTTTGGATTGCACTCTCATACTCACAGGCCCTTTAGATTACACCCGTTGAGTTCCACTCCCTCGTCGAGGTGGCCGCTCTTTTTCTCCTTTTCGACAGTTGCATGCTAATTTCTCACATTAACATCACTAGCCCTGGCCACTTCTTTATGACCCTTGGGCTACACCCATTTCAAACCTTTTAAAACAGTCTGCCTCAGCAGCAGACCATGCTTTCCCACCTGATGACCGATGCTTGTGTTGCGCCCGAAACGTCGTGATTTATTTTATTTTAAACCTACGTGATTTTACCGAAAGATTCTAGATTTGAAGCTTTCGTGACTGCAAGGATTCATACTCTTAGTTTTTTCGGTAAAGTCACGTAGGTAAAAAATGAAATTAAAATTAACAAAAATAAAATAATAAAATTCACGACGTTTCGGAGGCAACACAAGTCTCCATCATCAGGTGGGACCGTCACAGCCAGATTAGCTGTATCAAGTGAGGCAGGGATTCCAGGATGCAAGTTCTTAAATACAAGTTAAGGGGGAGGGGGGGCTTATCAGAATGTGGTAGCCAATGAATGGAACGTATTGGGAGGGGGGGGGGGCTAAAAGAGGTGTTTGTAGGCGTCGACGTGTAAGAGAGGACGAGAGGGGTACGTGGACGTGGACCTGTTTGTGCACAAGCACATGTTGGTGCACTTGATAGAAGAGAACGAAAATGCTTATGTTTTTTCTTCTTGGTTCTTTCGGTAAAGTCACGTAGAAGGGAAGTAATAAAATAATAAAAATAAAACATAATAAAATAAAATAATTCTCACGACGTTTCGGCTACAATGCAAGCAGCCGTCTTCAGGTGAAGAATGAGACACTGCCAAGCTAGGAGCTTATATATAAGCTGGGTTGGAGGTGGAAGAGCGCCTTAACAAAAAGAATAAGTTACAGCAGCAGATGTTAGTGTAAATACGTTTGGTATTACCTTAGAGTCGCGGCATCTCTTCAGAAAGGTGAGAGACTCGATTAGCTGAGCCTTCTTATCCCGGAGCTTGTTGAAGGATCTCAAAGTTATGTGGAAACCCTCCCCGTAGAGGCGGTTAAATTTCGATTTAAAGCTTTCGTGACTGCAGGGATTCATCTTCTTGGTTCTTTCGGTAAAGTCACGTAGAAGGGAAGTAATAAAATAATAAAAATAAAACATAATAAAATAAAATAATTCTCACGACGTTTCGGCTACAATGCAAGCAGCCATCTTCAGGTGAAGAATGAGACACTGCCAAGCTAGGAGCTTATATATAAGCTGGGTTGGAGGTGGAAGAGCGCCTTAACAAAAAGAATAAGTTACAGCAGCAGATGTTAGTGTAAATGCGTTTGGTATTACCTTAGAGTCGCCGCATCTCTTCAGAAAGGTGACAGACTCGAACCCAGCTTATATATAAGCTCTTAGCTTGGCAGTGTCTCATTCTTCACCTGAAGACGGCTGCTTGCGTTGTAGCCGAAACGTCGTGAGAATTATTTTATTATGTTTATTTTTATTATTTTATTACTTCCCTTCTACGTGACTTTACCGAAAGAACCAAGAAGATGAATCCCTGGAGTCACGAAAGCTTTAAATCGAAATTTAACCGCCTCTACGGGGAGGGTTTCCACATAACTTTGAGATCCTTCAACAAGCTCCGGGATTAGAAGGCTCAGCTAATCGAGTCTCTCACGTTTCTGAAGAGATGCCGCGACTCTAAGGTAATACCAAACGCATTTACACTAACATCTGCTGCTGTAACTTATTCTTTTTGTTAAGGTGCTCTTCCACCTCCAACCCAGCTTATATATAAGCTCCTAGCTTGGCAGTGTCTCATTCTTCACCTGAAGGCAGCTGCTTGCGTTGTAGCCGAAACGTCGTGAGAATTATTTTATTTTATTATGTTTTATTTTTATTATTTTATTACTTCCCTTCTACGTGACTTTTCCGAAAGAACCAAGAAGATGAATCCCTGCAGTCACGAAAGCTTTAAATCGAAATTTAATGCTTATGTTGTTTTTATCCAGTGTTGGCTGACAATCAAATACGAGAAAAGAGAGTACTGTTAAACGCTGGGGATGTTAACACTCGGTAAAGTAAAATAGTGCCCGTCAGATAAGATGGTCCAAAATGTGTAGTTAAATCTTTTTTTAATGGTTAATGACATCTTTCCAATGATTACTAAGTTTGTACCCATCATCACGGTTGAAATTATGTCTGTGTTTGTATATCTGAATGGCTTCGTGTACAAACCTTTGATGGTAGCCAGAGGGTTTGCAGAGCACCTTAGTCTCGGAAAAAACAATATCATGAGAGCCCACCGCGTTGTAGCAATGATCGGCAACGGCGGAAGACTCAATTTTGCCGTGTTTCAAATCTGACTTGTGCTCGCGGACACGATCAGAGACATATTTACCAAAAGAACCAAAGAGAATGTAAAAAGAGGATAGTCGACCTAGGGGAGGCCCAGGACCTGGTTCAAATAATCGCTGCTGATGGTAGTGGTGGATGTGAGCTGGACTCAGACTCGGGTCTCTTCTGGTTTCATACAGTGAGGGAAAAAGTATTTGATCCCCTGCTGATTTTGTACTTTTGCCCACTGACAAAGAAATGATCAGTCTATAATTTTAATGGTAGGTTTATTTAAACAGTGAGAGACAGAATAACAACAAAATCCAGAAAATGTTAAAAATTTTATAAATTGATTTGCATTTTATTGAGGGAAATAAGTATTTGACCCCCTCTCAGTCAGAAAGATTTCTGGCTCCCAGGTGTCTTTTATACAGGTAACGAGCTGAGATTAAGAGCACACTCTTAAAGGGAGTGCTCCTAATCTCAGCTTGGTACCTGTATAAAAGACACCTGTTCACAGAAGCAATCAATCAATCAGATTCCAATCTCTCCACCATGGCCAAGACCAAAGAGCTCTCCAAGGATGTCGGGGACAAGATTGTAGATCTACACAAGGCTGGGATGGGCTACAAGACCATCGCCAAGCAGCTTGGTGAGAAGGTGACAACAGTTGGTGCGATTATTCGCAAATGGAAGAAACACAAAAGAACTGTCAATCTCCCTCGGCCTGGGGATCCATGCAAGATCTCACCTCGTGGAGTTGCAATGATCATGAGAACGGTGAGGAATCAGCCCAGAACTACACGGGAGGATCTTGTCAATAATCTCAAGGCAGCTGCGACCATAGTCACCAAGAAAACAGTTGGTAACACACTACGCCGTGAAGGACTGAAATCCTGCAGCGCCCGCAAGGTCCCCCTGCTCAAGAAAGCACATATACATGCCCGTCGGAAGTTTGCCAATGAACATCTGAATGATTCAGAGGACAACTGAGTGAAAGTGTTGTGGTCAGATGAGACCAAAATGAAGCTCTTTGGCATCAACTCAACTCGCCGTGTTTGGAGGAGGAGGAGGAATGCTGCCTATGACCCCAAGAACACCATCCCCACTGTCAAACATGGAGGTGGAAACATGCTTTGGGGGTGTTTTTCTGCTAAGGGGACAGGACAACTTCACCGCATCAAAGGGACGATGGACGGGGCCATGTACCGTCAAATCTTGGGTGAGAACCTCCTTCCCTCAGCCAGGGCATTGAAAATGGGTCATGGGTGGGTATTCCAGCATGAAATTGACCCAAAACACACGGCCAAGGCAACAAAGGAGTGGCTCACGAAGAAGCACATTAAGGTCCTT